TTTGGTCCCTAAAATTAATTTTAAATAAAAACACCCTGTTAATATTAATACTACTTGTCATTTAATTCAAGAATCCGTTGGAATTTTTTGAATAACTTGTTTAGTTATTACGCAAATCGATTTTGAATTTTGGCCCAAAATATGATCCAGGTACAAAATGGGTTGAGTAACATAAATAATTTTTGTATATTTATCTTTCTTTATTAATTGTTTGTTCATAAATAAATTTTCATCAGAATTAAAAATTTTTCTCCAGACCTTTGACATCGTGTTTGATTTACAATTTGTTGTCGACATGAAATGCCAGTTCTTTAAATGACAATTATTGTGTTGAACTTTTAATTATAACTTTTTTAATAATAAATTAAACAAAAATAATTTTTCTGACTAAAAATGTTATTAAAATTTCAATACATGTTTAAAATATGTGCATTAATTTTTAATTTGTTTGTCATAATAAATTCCGAAATTAATAATGACATTCCCATCGATGAAAGTATGCCATGTTTTAAATGTTTGATTTTTTTCTTTCGTTTTGTATAAAAATGTTTTAAAAAGCATTATTTTGACAACTTTTTAAAATAGTTAGTTTTGAATTTATTTTATTTGTTAATTAATTGTCTTTTAGGCGAAACACTTGTCGTATATGTTGTGTTATATGCGGATGACATCAATACAATCGATGATAAAGAAATGGTTTGTTCAGTTGAATTGCAATTACAAAATATTCAATCAAATATATTAATAGGATTTTCGTCTCGATTTTTATCTGAGACACGAGTGGAATGTTTCGCAACACTTTTGTCGTCCGTATCTCAAGAAATTAAATGAAGGAAACATTTTCTTAAATACAACTGAAAGTATAAAATAATATATAATAATATACATTAAACAATACAATTATACAATAAACTGTATATTATATGTTATAATACATTAGTTTAAAATTGATTTGTCTTCAGAGACGGCCATTATATTGAAAAATGACTTTAAATACTTTTGGGTTCCGGACGTAAATATTATACATTTAATAAACGTTATATTATATGCAATATATTCTACAATTAGTTTATTTAAACGACAGACTGTTATGACAAACGCAAAGACAGAGGAAAATATTGGAGAAAATAAAGTGTTGAAAATCAAGAATTATGAAACTTATTGTTATTTAGAATATATCGCAAAGTTTGTGAAAATAACTTTTAACAATATGAAACATTGAACTCAAATCTCAAACATTATAGAATGGCTGCAATAGTGAGCTGTCCCATGGATTTTCATCAGTTTCCCAAAGAAACTATCAATTGTCGGATGCAATTCAGAAGTTGTAAGTTTTAATCTTCTATTCGTATATTTAGTGTCCCTATAATTATGAATACTTGTGATTATAACCTTAGATTCACGTCATAAGAAACAAATTGAATATAAATGGGACGTCGACTCCACTATGAAAGACAAGTCGGCGTTGTATTTAAATCCCGATCTAAGACTATTACAGCACTCCGTTTATGTGACCACTGGATCCAGTGATAGCACATCTCTTAGAGGTCTGTTCTCAACACATTTAGTTGTTATAATGACATAACGCTTAATTAATTAATAACAGTGAAATACTCGGTTGCCCTTGCTACTTTCACATTTAAGCGACAGTTACTTAATAAACTCTCTTCTGTTTATTTTCCGAGTCTTCTGGTGGTTGGCTTGAGTTGGCTCTCATTCTGGTCTCATGTTATTAATATTATATGAATACAACATTTAAATAAATTAAAACAATTACTATTTAATTAATAGGATAGCATTGGACTCAACCCCCGGTCGTGTAATTCTGTGCGTAATGTGTTTACTTTCAATCAGCGCACAGTCCGTTAGTTTACGCCAAGAATTACCACGACTTTCATATATTACAGTAAAA